TAATTTAGTAGAGTAACGTTTCAAGCCAAATTCTCGTCATTTGCGGGAGGTTTTAATTTTCTGCTTCAATATGAAGAAATCTGTGGCTGAGGCTCATCGAATGCTTTCAAATACTTATGGTGAGGCCGCTATTAGTGAAAGAACGTGTCGTGAGTGGTTTTAACGCTTCAAGAACGGTGATTTAGACGTCGAAGACCGGCATAGCGGTGGAAGAGAGAAAGTTTTCGAAGATGCAGAATTGAAGGCATTACTTGATCATGACTCGTGTCAAAATCAAGAAGAATTGGCACGATCATTGGGAGTGACTCAACAAGCCATTTCAAAACGTCTCAAAGCCATGGGAATGATTCAAAAGCAAGGAAATTGGGTACCGTACGAGTTGAAACCGAGAGATGTTAAACGGCTTTTGTTTGCTTGTGAACAGCTGCTTGAAAGGCAAAGACGGAAAGGATTTCTGCATCGCAATGTGACTGGGGATGAAAAATGGATTCATTACGATAACTCCAAGCGTAGAAAATCATGGAGAGTTCCCGGCCATGCTTCAACGTCGACGGCCAAACCGAATATTCACAGCTCCAAGGTCATGCTCTGTATTTGGTGGGACCAGTTCGGCGTAGTGCATTATGAGCTGTTAAAACCGACTGAAACACTCACAGGAGATCGGTATCGAACGCAATTGACGCGTTTGAGCCGAGCATTGAAAGACAAACGGCCGCAATACAACGAGAGACATGATAAAGTGATTTTGCAGCATGACAATGTTCGACCCCATGTTGCGAAAATGGTCAAGACATACTTGGAAACGTTGAAATGGGAAGTTCTACCCCACCCGCCGTATTCTCCAGACGTTGCTCCCTCTGACTATCACTTGTTTCGATCAATGGCACACGGCCTGGCTGACCAGCACTTCCGGTCTTATGTAGAAGTAAAAAATTGGATCGATTCGTGGATCGCCTCAAAAGATGACTAGTTTTTTCGACGCGGGATTCGTACGTTGCCCGAAAGATGGGAGAAAGTAGTGGCCAGCAGTGGACAATACTTTGAATCATAAATGTATAACCAGTTTTTTACAATAAAGCCTCGAATTTCGGAAAAAAAACGGCGGAGACAAAGTTGTACACCTAATATTCAGGAAATCTTGAGAAATTTCCAAAAATAATAAAAAAGATCGTTTAAATGCTCTACAAAGAAATTTATTTTGTTTCTAATAAATGATGGATTTCAAAATTAATGGTTTGTTTACATCTAACACAAGTTGAATCATGAAATACTATAAGAATACTAGGAAGATCTACATATACGGGGTCTTCAAAAAGTCTAGAAACGCTAAAATATCTCGAAAATGATCAACTCTAGTAAAAAATATATAAAGGCAAAGTTGTAAAACTTAAAAAGATCTACCTAACTGATAATGAAAGGTTGATTTTGAGTGGAGTCTGCAAGGTCATATAAAGGTCAAATTGAATTTTTTAAACAGAAGCCCATTTTTTTATTACATAGTCTTATAGCTTATTTCAAGAGCTTTTTAAAACACTATAATAAAATATTTTTCATTAAGTACTTTTCGAGTTATAAGGCTTGAAAGTTACAGTATCTCCGGCATTAGCATTACACAAGGTGTCCGACGGACGGTTAAAACCTCTTGAATATTGTTGAGAATTACATCCTGGATAACATTTGTTAAGATCAAGGCGGGGTGATCCCGATTGACCACGGCTCGATTGGACACCACCAATCACGGCGACCGGTGCTTAGGAGCTTTGTAGTCTCAAGCGCTGTGAGTGGCTCGTGTCCAATTGAGCCGTGTCCAACTGGGTGCCACCCGATCAAGGCCATTGGAGATTATCCCTCTTATTTTCATTTTTACACTAAAAATTCATTTTTACGTAAAAATGAAAATTGACCGCCTGGATCGAGCATCTCAGCTCCCTCTGTACGACTCGGAGGGTAACGTGAAGATAACCGATCTTCTCCTCCGCGCCATCCCTCGCCTTGACCCGCAGGTAGGCACGCCTGGCCGCTGGGAGAACCGCTTCAAGACGGCGATGTCCTCCGATCACCAATAGGCCGCCCTACGGGCCGACGGAGAGCGACTGCGAGGCATCGAGACATCGCACAACTCCCACATAACGTCGCGAAACCTCTCCGCCTCGCCGTGCATCCCACCTGGCTCACCCCCCAGCACCCTGACGAGGAGGGCTCCCATTGCTTTGGTACACGCGGAAAAGACATCCTTGTCTATCTTCCAGAGAGCCCATCCCATCTTCTCGCCGTTGTTCTTTTTGCATGGGAGCCGGGCTCCACCACAGACCCGTGTCCGAGACGGAGGCCGATGTATTTGATCGGAAAGGGTTTCCATGTCACACA